AAATTATTGTACGGATTTTCAAATGATTTTCAAAGAAAAAAATTTTTTTCCCCAAGAAATTGCATCTTTTTTCCTGAACAAATATTTTATCACTATTTGCGATGAAAAATTGAAAAAAAATTTTAGCTGTCAGAAAAGTGTTGAAATGAAATATTTTAAATTATTTTTCGAGTTCTTTGGTTATTTTTTCCAAGGTTATTTCTTTCAAGTTGTAATAGGTTGTTTTTGCTGAAAATAAATTTATATTTTTGAATATTTACAACACAATTTTAAGAAACATTTTTTTTCAGGCAATAAAATATTTAAATACGTTCCCAAATAATTTGACTCTTTTTTATTCTAAATTCTTTATCTTTCGTTATGACCGTATTGATTTTGCTGGAAAAAAATTTTGGTAAGCACTTTCTTATAAATAGGGCTGAAAAAAAATTCTATCCATAAAAAATAATTTTGCAGAAAAATTGAAAAAGTATCTCTGCCCAATTCCGTTAAGGGGCAATTTTTTTATTATAAGTAATAAATTTAGGTATGAACAAAAATACGCAAAGTAAACAAAATTTCACACTCATTAGTTTAAACTACTTTATAATTTCACGCGACTGTATGAATTAATTATTGGCATGAATTTTTTAAAAGTTTCTCCATTAACGTATGTGCATCCGAACGGGAATGATTCAAGCTTGCTCTTAGAAAATTCTTAGACTGTAGAGTAATAGTTAAAAGAAGAAGGAGAGGAGAAAAAGGAACCGTTTCCGGAGGAGCTCGTCTCGGCACTTAAAAACGTCGACAGCCGCGGGAGGGTACGAGGAATACCTAAAGTAGCCCCCGTATGTGCACCAGTAGAGTAGAGGGCAATTTATGTGGGCGCTCGAGCGCATAACAATTCACGCGAGACACGTGTTTACGCGCTCGCGCATCTAAGTGGCAAGTTCCCTTTTTTTTCTTCGCTTTTTTTTCCTAGGTATATCCATCTTTGAATAAGACACATTTTTTTTGAACAACATTTATATTTTTTCCATCTTTGATGTATATTTTGAAAACAAGAGAAAGAGGGTTCGAATGAAAAAAAAAACGAATTTTCATTGCTGTAAAATTGTATCAATATTTTATTTTTACTCTTCGTGATCAATCAAATAAATTGGCTTTATATATTTATTTACATTACATTATATTTATAATTAAATAACTTAGTGTATACTCTATGTGTACACTAAGTTATTTACATTACATTATATTTATAATTAAATAACTTAGTGTATACTCTATGTGTACATTTTCGTATAAAAAGTCAGTCGTTAGTTACACAATCGGAATATAAATTGGAATATCGTTGCTTAGCTCAGTTGAACTAAAACATAGCAGTAATACTAANTTATTTACATTACATTATATTTATAATTAAATAACTTAGTGTATACTCTATGTGTACATTTTCGTATAAAAAGTCAGTCGTTAGTTACACAATCGGAATATAAATTGGAATATCGTTGCTTAGCTCAGTTGAACTAAAACATAGCAGTAATACTAAGAAGTGGACATAATGAGAATTAATGTATACCGAAATGGAAAATAATTTTTTCAACAACTTGTTTAATGTATTTATAAATTTGATACATTAGCGGATCAACTTTAATATCTTATTTTACTGATTTTCCAAAAATTATTAACAGATATTTGTTATTTCGTAAAAAATGTGAATAAATATTTTTATAATAAAATTTTTATTTCTGTTAATTTTTTCGCGTTCGAGTAAATGAAATTTTTTTCTTTTTTATTAATCGATTACGCAATACAAGAAATTCACTATTAGTTTCTATACAATTATCACCCTACGATTTTGGTTTTCGCATAACACTACGGCACCATCCCTTCAATATTACCTACACAACTGACTTAGAGCACCTTCGTTAACCCTTAAAATTAAGTATCATTTCTTGAAAATTAGATTGCATTTAAAATTTGTTATAAAAATATATTTGAATGATCATCACACTTCTTTACTCTACATTATATATGTGAAATTCGACGACGAAAAAGAAAAACAAAACATAAATTTTGTATATGAAATTAAAGAAGCAACAAAAAGGGGGACATAAAATTCTTTATACCCTAACATTTTGTTATTACAAAAATATCACATTGTTAAGATACGACGACGATGTCTTTTTTAAACAAAAAAAAGCAAATAAACGACACTGGGCTTCTAAACTGCTCGTGCAAGATTTTCCGGTTGTAGACCAGTGGTAGATATAGTACATGATTTTACAAAACTTTCAACAGACGCAGCAGAGGGTTGAGTTTGCCGGCCTCGGAGTCTCGGTACTCTTCGAGTAGCTGAATCGGACAAAAGTAAAGACAATTTTCGTAAGCTTAAATACTTATTTAATCTACTTTTCTTGACAACCGCATCATTATTCATTATTTATTTGAAGAAACGTCAAAATTACAAATTTAAATGAAATTTAGAACCATTTAGTTAACGACTTGATAAAAACGGAATAATTTTTTTTCTAGAGCAATGCGTCATCAATAACTAACTTAGATAAGTAAAAATTCCGAAGTGACTTGCATCAATGATAGATTAGGTGTATCTATATATTACGTAGGTATTATTGAAATTTTACATTTCGTAGTTAGTCATTTATGACGCATTATACTTCCATAGAAACAAATGATTCTTTTTTCATCAAGTCGTTAACTGAATATTATTTATACATTGGAAATTTAAACTTTGATAAGTAAAAATTCTGAAATAATATACATCAATATGTAAGTATTTTTATAATTTGACATTTCGTGAGTTGATCATTTATGACGCATTATACTTTCATCGAAAAAAATAATTCTGTTTTTATCAAGTCGTTAACTGAATATTATTTGTAAATTGGGAATTTAAACTTTGATAACTAACTTAGATAAGTAAAAATTCTGAAATAATATACTATTATAAATAATATGTATTTTTAGAATTTGACATTTCGTGAGTTAATCATTTATGACGCATTATACTTTCATAGAAAAAAATAATTCTGTTTTTATCAAGTCGTTAACTGAATATTATTTGTAAATTGGGAATTTAAACTTTGATAACTAACTTAGATAAGTAAAAATTCTGAAATAATATACTATTATAAATAATATGTATTTTTAGAATTTGACATTTCGTGAGTTAATCATTTATGACGCATTATACTTTCATAGAAAAAAATAATTCTGTTTTTATTAAGTCATTAACTCAAAAGTCGTGAAATTGCCTTAAATTAGGTTTAGTTCAAAAATATTACTTTTCTTATAAAATACAGTCACCGAGTCAACATTTCTTAGACATGTAATAATAAATATGCTGAATGGTGAATTGCTATAAAATTATTATGCATTTCTAAGTTTTTTCATGAAAATCCTATACTGATTGTTGTTAAAAAATTAAAAACTAAACTAGAAAGAATTTCTATTTTTTACTAATAAACTACATTAGAACTCCGTTTTAAATCCCTTGAATCGTAGCTTTTATATTTTTATAAATTATTAAATTCAAATCGCGACGAACAATTTCATTTTTTTCTAACTCACTCCTACGACCAAACGATTGTACTTGTAGTCAAAATTTCTGTATTTACAAGTAAACAAAAGTAAAATAAACGATATGAAACATGTTTCTTCTAGGTATTTGTTATACTGACGAGTATGTACAGTGAAAATTGTCACAGCCGTATCCCCACACGAAAAATTCAAAAAAAGTATTTCGCGATCTAAAGCTCGTTTGTATTGAAAAAAAAATGGTAAAACAGGTAATAGAATAATTGTTGTTTTCAAAAAAAAAAAAAAAAATCAATAGCTCACCTGGTACGACATCTCGCAGGAAAGTACAGCCTTGGCCTCGGCGTTGTCGTGAGTAGCAGCCAGTAGAGTCGACAGCGTGTACGAAGACAACTGGGGATCCCCATAGAACGGAAAGGGCAGCGTGCAAAGCTGCTGAAGCACGCTCGGGCCCGTCGCTCCACCCCCCGACGACTGGAGCACTAGCTATGCGTACGTTAAGACGGTTGTTGTTTTTTTATTTTTTATTTTTTTTAATTTATGCGTGTACGGTGAAAATAGACTCGTAGGAAAAAGTCGTGGGAATATTTGGAGGAAGACCGATCCGCGAATTCTCATGCCAACGTCTTACGGAAGTCTCGCGTCCGTCGCCCGCAGCTCGTGCGCACTTGCACCTGCTTTTTTTTTAGTGCATTGAGCTTATTACGCATAACGGGGTAATAAGGCGGTTGGGTCTAATTTTTTTTTTTTTTTTTTTTTTCGGTTCAATACAAAATAAATACATATTCATTCGGGAAGGATTGGAAAGTTGTGTGCCCGAAAAGTTGGAAAATTCGCAGAAATCGGGCGAAAATTGAAAGCCCATTAGCCAAATGTGCCTGTAATACGCCCGAAATGAGGACTGGAGATATAATATACATGTTTTGCCACTCAGTGAGCGTAGGCACAAATGAAGACGAGCGTTTGTTGCGTTTTTGCGGGATTGAATTTAATCGAGGGTGTCTGTTGGATTTTACTCTGAAAATCCGATGCTGTAGTGCGGTGGGGCAGAAAAAAAAGGATGATTAATTAATTTGGCTCTCGACCGTTACTTTGTTTACCGAAAATGCACATTTAATCCTTTGCAGCCATTAATTATACAACCATTAATACCATTTTCTTTTTTTTTTCGTTGCATTTGACGATTGCGGATCGTTACAGCGAACAAAATGTTAATAGAGGAAGTCGACGTTTTTTGGGGTCAATAGGTGTTAAAGTGCTCGAGTCAAAAGATTAGCTGGATAACTTTTATTTTCAATACATCCGGATTAGGTCATGATTATAATTTTTAAAATAATTTGTAATAAACTTTGTTTTCCATGAGAATGTGTGGAAAAATTTCTTTGTCGAGTACTATGTTGCATAATCAATCGTAAAAACAAAAATAAATTGTATTTTCCTATTTGAAAAGATTGATTGCCACGCGACTGAAGGTTTTTTTTGCTGTGTCATTGGTTGGAACAAATCATGTGGTTTGTTTGGTGGAATTAAAAGAACAAATTAATAGCATTGAAATGTAGCAACAATGGGTACGGAACAAGTTTATAATGTCCAAATAATCTGAAGTGATACTATTAAATTTATTTATTTATGTAAAAAAAAAAAAAAAAAAAAAAAAAAAAAAAAAAAAAAAAAAAAAAAANGTTTAGTAAAGTTAACGTTAAATTGAATTATTCGTGGTACGTAATTTTGTAATGATTGTAATACACGATTAATATATTTTTAGAGGAAAACATATTTTTAAAGCATCACCTATGTATTTACATTATGACATTAAAAAATAAAAGATATATAATATTCCAGTGTGTTTATTGATTGAAAATTAAAGAAAATCAACAATACAAAGTATTTGAGAAAGTATCAAGTCTATCTACAGTTGGTGGATGTTTGTAAAATATAAGTTTTATTTTAATACATTTGATTGTGGCATATTCTAAATTTTCTTTACGATCAACTTATACAAAACTCAATATCTAAATTATTCAAAGTATTTAAATAAATAAGTTTAAAAAAAAAAAAGAGAATTTTCGAAAACCCATGATCAAATGACGACGGAGGCAAATAAAAGTAGCGATAAAACGAAAAAGAAAAAAAAGAAGCGAAGGCACACGTATATTATATGGAAACGAAAAGAGTAAAGAGGAGGACATCAGCTATACGTATAGGCTCCTCCCGCCTTTGCCGCTTACGTGTACGTATATGTATAATAGTAGCGGACCAAGTGATGAATGCAGCGCGACCGCGACGGCGACGATGCACTTACTTGCATCGGTGCGCAATATAAGTATATACATATACATATGGGACTGACAGGCGCGGCGTGGTGTTTAACAGGAGGTAAATATATATCTTCGGGTTGACGCGTGTAATATCGACGCGGAGGTCCGAAAGAGGGAGTATAGAGTTGAGTGTGTTGTGTCTAAGCAGCTTTCAGCGCTCGCTCCTTTTTTCCTCCTCCTCCTCTCTTTTTATCGCCCTTGTACGCGGCTACTTGATCCCTACGCTTTCTTCGTCCCGTATCTTGTAGCAACGCGAGTCTTTTTTTTTTTTTTTTTTTTCAACTCTGTGATATTTTATTAAAAACACGTAGGTACGTTACACTGAAAGCCCGAGAAACAAAGCTCCAGCTAAACGGACAGGTTTTCATTACTTAAAATAAAGAAAAACCAGCCCAAGTCTCTACAGTCGCGAAATGATCAGCTCGGCTCGGTCAGCACTTACCCACTAATCTTTGCACAAAAAGAGAAAAAAAGAGTCACCTAAGTATATACGAATGGAAAAGAAAAAAAAAAAGAAGAAGGAGCCGAGGGAAAGTTACAGCTCTGTCGGTGGCGAAGGTCGCTAGTTTGCATAAAAATGCCACAGAGAGCGACAAACGGGACCCTGAGAGAGGGAGAGAGAGAGGAGAGATAAGGTGCGGGAGGCTTATATATGCAGATGAACCGGGAGAGAGACAGAGCCGTGCGTGTACAAGGAAAAAAGGAGCGTGTCGCCGAAAAAGTCAAAAGTCGAAGGAAGGAAGCGCGCCCGGTTTTTTGCAGCCAAATGAGTTATGAGAGGTCGTCGATAACAGATAAAGGAGAATTCTCGCCTGACGCGAGCGCGCGTTTTTTTTTTTATAGACGCACCGGTCGATTTATTATGCGAGCCTTTTTTTTTTTTTTTTTTTTTATTTTATTTTATTGCTCAAGCAACCAAGTGTGGGGGTTCGATGACAACGAGATGCACAATGCGTATGTGAATTTTTCACTCGGATATACGACGTATACAATGAAAAATCAACTGAGCCATAGCAAAGGGGCTGCGCTCGTTTGAAAGTCTCGATATGAAAAGTCAAGAATCTTTTCGAGACTTATTTTTGACTATTAAGAGACTTTAAAGTGACTTTGAAATCATTTAGAGGACCCCAGAGCCTTTTCAAAACTTCTAGAGACTCAAAGACTTTCCTTCTGCGACTTCAGATGAATAAAATAAGTTTTTTTTTTCAATTTTTGTAGTCTTTAAAAGACTTTGAAGTGATCAAAAGTGTTGGATGACTTAAAAATCTTTCAGTAGCTTTTTAAATTATTTTGAAAATTTCAAGAAACTCTCAAAGACTTTCCTTCTATGACTTCAGATGAATAAAATAAGTTTTTGTTCAATTTTTGTAGTCTTTGCAAGACTTTAGAGTCATAAAAATTCTTGAATGACTTAAAAATCTTTCAGTAAATTTTCGAAGTATTTTGTAAATTTTTAGAGACTCTAAGACTTTTCTTCTACGACTTCAGATGAGTAAAAAAATTTTTTTTAACTTTTGCGGTCTTTGAAAGANGGTTTTTTTTTTTTTTTTTTTTGGGCGCTCGAGTGATTTGACGCCGGCGACTGGCTAAATAGGACCCTCGGAGAGCACCATACACACACGCGCGGGCGCGTCGTACAACGAGAGAGCTTTCGAATTGGTAATGTATTACAATAGAGCAGCGTACATATACATGGACCCTGCTTCGAGACTATTACTCCGGAGATAGAGTGAAAGTCTTGAAAGTTTTAAATGACTTTGATAGTCTTTCGAAAACCTTTAGTCTCTAAAAGACTTAACGACTTGAACATATTTTCGAGACTTTTGCCGCGTTTTTCAATAAAAATTCAGATTGCATAGCCCCTCGTGTACAATTGAACAACGAAAATTCGCGTGATCCTCGTTTTGGAAGACGAAACCGAGCCTCTGCAGAAGATCGTGCAAAACCAGAGGAAAGGAGAGGAGGGGGCAATAAATGCGAAAAATCAGCGCCACTTACCTGGTTGTCCGTGTTGTTGATGGCGAAGTAACCCAGCGCGACAAAGAGCTCGGCCAGCAGGCTCCTGTTACCCACCCCGGATCCCGGCTGCTGTTCCTCCCTGGCACCAACGACAATCGCCTGGTCGGCCATGTCGCGCGACAGCTTGGTTATCAGGTGGCTGGCAATCAGTCGCCACTGCAGGCTCGTACCCTCGGCACCGAGCAGTGCCTATATACGAGAGGGAATAAAGAAAAATCTTCAAAAAAAAAAAGGGGGGGGGGCAGCGATCGAGAGACAGAGACGTCACAGAAGAGCCCGGGGGGGTTGACCGCGAAATTGAATATAATATACTGCCCGTGCAGTGATCACCATTTCTCCAGTGGCTCGTTGGGCCACGCTACAGGGGAGCCCTCCCCCCCTAAGCACCACTTGCTCCCCCGGGAGGTGCGATCCGACGACCACGAATGATGGAAAAGCCAGCGATGGATAATAAATATATATATATATATGTGTGCGTGGGGCCCCCCTCTGCCCCCCATTAGACGCGTACACGTATATTCTCTTTGCCCGTGTCACGCCCACGTGCCCTTGTAATGTATATTGATCAAATATATATATATGTACTAACCTGAAACTTGTGCAGATCGAGCTCGGCAAGACTCCTGAGTAGCCTCAAGCCGCTGCAGGCGAGGGCTCGTGCCGCAGGTGACAGCTGACCTGGAGTAGGCGAGGTAGAGCCGGGGGGCTTGGCGGCAAGGGCAACGGCGGCATATAGGGCACCGATCAGTCCGGCGGCCTCGCTCGACTCGAGTTGGCCGAGGAGGTGGGCCCGGGCGACGCAGGGCTCGCTTTCTCCGGCAACCACGGGGGTTTCCGGGGAGTCCGGGTAGCGTCGCAATTGGACGCACAGCCGGCCGAGAAGGTCGTACGAGCCGACGAGGACGCTGCAGTCGCGCTCCTGGTCCGACTCGACGGTGACGCGGCTGTGACGGCTCAGCCGGTCGATCAGGCCGCTCGTCAGGAGGTAGCTGCAACCAGAGGATGACGAAGATGACGATCGAGTCAAGTGCGGTGATTTTACCAAAAGACAATTGATCCTCATTCGAGTTGGCACTTGAGTGACGTATATGGGGGGTAGGGGGGATAAGTGTGCATATGGCTCGTATGCGTACATGTGCGGAGGGGGGGAGGGGCGTGCGACGGCGTAACACGAGAGGATTATAATTCACGGGATAAGAAAAAGGGAATTCGGTGCGAATTGAAAGAAGAAAAAACGATGACGAATCATAATGATAATAATAACAACCGAAGGGATGCAGCGTGGCGTGACGAGTTTTAATTGAAAAAAAAAAAGAGAGAAAATATGACGCGAGGGCCCAACTGTCGCGTCGCATCGTGACAACGACACCGTGATGGGTGTACGTACCACGCGTGTATATACATATTATGTGTTACAAGTGCGCTCGGCTAATTCCACGCTTCTTCCTTCCTTCCTCCCTTTACGATTTTTTTTTTGTTTTTTTTTTTTTCACGTGTCTATGCACACCGTTGTCATCTCTCGCTACTCGCTCCAAAGGATTTTCTAATTTTTCCTTATTTTTCTCCACCAAAAGTTACCATCGATAAAACATTGAATTTATTTATCGCATGAATTATACTCTGCGAGTGCGCCACTGTAATGCCATATGGATCCAAGAACCCTTTTAACTATATATGATTATCCCGCATCACCCCCGCGCCTCTCGAAAAAACACACGGCCGAGATTCCGAACCACCCCACACTCCCCGTTACACCGCCCTTTTTTTTTTTTTTTTGTTGCTCTATCTTTTTTTTTTCAGCCGGATAAGCCGGGCACTGTGGCGCTGGACGCTAAATTAACCAAAGTCGCATCAGCTCTCCTCGGGTCATTAGGCAATCCTTTCGTCATTGTCGCAAGCGCGTATGGCCCTTTATACTGTGCGCCAACCCTCCCTATGGCTCTTATTCTGATGATGGGTGGATTTGCTTGTACGTGTGCGCGCGTATACGTATACATATATATGTGAGCGCACGCCTCGTTTTATCGTCGTTATATGGCAGATTGTAATTTATGCGAGGATTCGCTCGTTGATTTGATTTATCCTGCACCTCATTGGGTGGATACGTAGGAAGGGTGGTAATATCATATTAGATTGCCTGGTACATGGTGCTTCAGTGGCTAGGGTTGATACCTTAAAACGTTTGCCGGAAAAATCTTGGCTCCAATGGCAATTGTGAAAAAAAAACAAAAATATCTATATTTGCGATTCGTTGCGAATGTATCCCAATGCGTTCCAATGTATAATTCCACGTACCCACTACAGCATCATCATCATTATCCGTACCGTGGATGCAAGCACACAGAGACAAGGGAAAAAGGAAGGGAGACTCGCACCGTACACAAAGTAAAAGGTGGCTGGGCCGAGTGCACACACTTGTTACAATATTTACCCGAGCTTTCTCTCTCTCTCTCTCTATCTTTCTTTGGGGGCTAAAAGCAAGTCGATCCCCTCGTCCTGCCATTCGCAAGTTCTTTCCTCCTTATCCTTCTCTTCTCTTGCACCGTGTACTCTTGCTCCCGTATATATACAGAGAAGAAAAAATCGTCGTCTCCCCATTTTTGTCGTCGCACCATTGTCGCGCACACGTATACGTTCCACTATTGTACATACTCTTATGGGTGGTGCGTGACGCTACCGAATCTTACGTATATATATAGTACGGGGGGGGGGGGTCGATTCCCCGGATGTAACGACGAGATGATGATGAGAAGAGGCATCGGCTAACGCGAGCTGCAGCGACAATACAAGTTACCCACGGAGTGAGGGGTGGGGGGAGGACAATGCGAGCTGGTGTCGCTCCTGTTTCCGCGTTTATTTTTTTGGGGGGGTATATACCCTTCGGATTGATATTCCTCTGTATGAATATATACATATATGTCCGAGTGAGGGTTTTTTTTTTTTTTTTTTTGGGCGCTCGAGTGATTTGACGCCGGCGACTGGCTAAATAGGACCCTCGGAGAGCACCATACACACACGCGCGGGCGCGTCGTACAACGAGAGAGCTTTCGAATTGGTAATGTATTACAATAGAGCAGCGTACATATACATGGACCCTGCTTCGAGACTATTACTCCGGAGATAGAGAGAGTAGTAGGCGCAATCCAAGTGCCCAGGATATTGCTACTCGGTCGGCGCGTTGACGCGTAATGCATTCGCAAGGGTGACGGGGTCGGTGCGAGCAAGTGCAGAGAGAGAGAGAGAGAGAGCACTGTGTTTATACACGGCGACGTGCTCACGCCTAATGCTTGCATGTACAGCGCGAATATTTCGTTCGGATGCGTATAGCCATCTTCGATTATTCACACCCGGATTGTCGAAATGGTGGGGGGGGGGGGGGGTTTCTTCTCCCCAATTTCACTCATCTGGGTCCACCCGAGAGTCGATGTATTCGTTCTTGTGTTTGTTTATTTGCTTTGCCGCCATAATTTATTCCAGGCCTATCTGTGGGTAGTGCCCGATGGGCGGCCCACACCGTGTATTATAGTCCGATTAACGGGAGACCCCCGCGTTCGTGTGTGCTTATATAGGGCATTGTTGCCGGAGATTACGACCCGGGCCAAGACGATCATGTTGTGATAACGCGACCATTTTTTTTTTTTTTTTTTTTAACACCATCCCTTGCTTGGCGTGGGTAGGCTGGTAGTTGCAGATGTTTTTTTTTTTTTTTTTGTTAGGGTGGAAAATTATCATTTTTAATTTTATGAATCATCGGAGCGATGGTTGTTTTACCATGGTTTTTTCCGATGGATTAAGCACCCGGGACGCCGAAAAAAATTATCATATCAAGTTGGTAAGCTAAGCGGTAGATGTTGGACGACCGTTTTTAATAACATCGTTAAAAATAATCTACGAAAATTAAAAAAAATGTGTAGTCGTAAAAGCAGAAATTCATTGTAAGATAAAAATATAATTTCAAAAGCCAATAAGCGTCCCTAACAGACTGTCCGTTGCGATATGCACAGCCAATTTCAACTATTTCTACATTAACAGTATTCTCATTAGTCTTATCGTTATCGGTACAAATGACACATACTGTATTTAGTAATAGACACGTTGATTTCCTAGGTACTAAGCAGTGCTCGCACCGTAGTTTGTTCAGTCGAGCGCAAGAAGTTAGTTTGGACAATGTTAAAATAAGATCTTAGTACATGTTCAAATGCAGATTAACTTCGGTACTCTTGAAAAATTGTCAAATCTGAAGAATTGAGTGCTTGGACCGTACGAAAGTTGTGTAAACTACTATTAAGAATCGAGGAAACAACAGGTAAGTTTTATTTTATAAAATTTCAAAACGACTACTATAACTTCACCAGTATATTTGGTATAAAACAATATAAAACACAATTCAATTTACTCATTTGCAACTGCGCGATATTTTTTACCTTGTGACCACAGTAATAAAATATGGTAATTTATTATGTGCAATGTATTTTCGGGGACAAAAATGAACGACGTAAACGTCCATAAATGAATTATAAAACAAAATAAGTAATATTCTTTATATTCATTCTTAATAGGAAAACAAATCTTATCTTCATGAGAATCATCTATACGTCATTGTTGAATTGCACCGGAATTTCCCTACGGAACAACTAATAGCACCATCGACAACCTGTTATACAGAATCGTAGCTGATTAAACACTTCTATAAAGCAAATTGTCCACAAATATGGCCAAAGTCACGGGTTCCTCGGAAAAATGGCATCGATGTAATGTATGCCAAGAGATTTTTACGGATGTAAGTCAATTTACATCACACATGCAGACGCACACAGACAAAAACTCATTTCAGTGTCCGGTATGTTCACAAACATTTGGACGAAAAAACAGTTATGTAATCCACATGCGTACCCATACTGGAGAAAAGCCATTTAAGTGCTTGATATGTTCACTAGCATTTAGTCATAAATGTAATCTTACTGCTCACACACGCATCCACACGGGCGAGAAACCATTTAAATGCTCGATATGTTCACAATCATTTCGCTACAAACATCATCTTGCAGATCACACACGCATCCACACGGGCGAAAAGCCATTCAAGTGTTCGATATGTTCACTAGCATTTAGTCTTAAAGCAAATCTTACTGCTCACACACGCATCCACACTAGAGAAAAGCCATTCAAGTGCTCGATATGTTTACTAGCATTTAGTAATAAATCAAATCTTACAAGACACACACGCATCCACACGGGCGAGAAACCATTTAAATGCTCGATATGTTCACAATTATTTCGCTACAAACATCATCTTGCAGGTCACACACGCATCCACACGGGCGAAAAGCCATTCAAATGCTCGATGTGTTCACTAGCATTTAGTCATAAAGCAAATCTTACTGCTCACACACGCATCCACACTAAAGAAAAGCCATTCAAGTGTTCGATATGTTCACTAGAATTTAGTAAAAAATCTAATCTTACAAGACACACACGCATCCACACTAGAGAAAAGCCATTCAAATGCTCGATGTGTTCACTAGCATTTAGTCATAAAGCAAATCTCACTGCTCACACACGCATCCACACTAGAGAAAAGCCATTCAAGTGTTCGATATGTTCACAATCATTTCGCTACAAACATCATCTTACATATCACACGCGAGTACACACAGACAATAAACCATTCAAATGCTCGGTATGTTCACAATCATTTCGCTGTAAACATAACCTTACAAAACACACGCTGAGACACACGAACGAAAAACCTTTTCAATGCTCACTATGTTTACGATCTTTCCGCCAACAACACCACTTCAAAAATCATATGAAAATTCATACTAGAGAACCTAAACCCTACAGATGCACAACATGTCCACAATCTTTCAACCAAAATAAAGGTCTTATGCGTCACATAAACATCCATCATAGCACATATTGCTGCGACGAGTGTTCGCAAACTTTTACCAACAAAATCAGCCTCATAAAACACATTGGCTCCGAACAC